TATGAGACCGTTGTCCTATATAGCCTATAAAAGCTCAACTCCGTTTTTCATGTAAAGCACATTTTAGTCAAAAATTTTTTGTTGTTCGTTTCCTTCAACTAAAACCCAGTTTTCTGCAAAGTGTTATCTTTCAGTTGTGTTATTGCCTTTAAAATTTAGTGGGTGAATATACTGTCTTTTCTATTGAAATTGTTGCGGATTAGGATTGTTTCTGTGAGGCAAACTCTCTAATTTGCGGATTAAGGATTGTTTTGACATTGATTTGACCTCGGTTTTTGCACCGTAGACCGTGAGTTTTACTCGTAGAGTTTGTACCGTAGTAGTGTTGTTACATCGTATCTGGTGAATTTTCTTTCTCTTCTTCTTCCGGCATCTATTTCTCGATTTCGCCTCCTCATCGACTATTAAGAAATCTCTCATTTTCCTCAATTCTCTATCTCAATCGGATTCAATTTGATTCCATATCAGTGTAGTTTCGGTTGATAGAATAATCTCTTAACGTTTTTGAGTATTTCATATTTATATACAAGTTGTCACTAACATTGCTTCAAATCTTTTATTGATTTCTTTTGGATCTCAAATGTTATTTGGATTGTTATTCTCAGAATATTGTTCTCATTTTCATCACTGCACTTTTTTTTTGGATTCAACAGTACATTTTTCAAGGAATTTGATAAGCACCTATAGTAATGTAGTTGGAGATTTCATAAACGAAATCCTCAGCAGAATACTCAATTTCCATTGGAAAAAAATGGAAAAATTGGGTTTCTATTCTGCTGGGATTTGTTTATGTAATCCTTAATTCATAATCATCTTCATACATGCTGCTCATAGCTGAAGAACCCTCAGAGGCATTATCCTTTAGTCTTAAGAGAGGTAACTCCTTATAATCTTTTGTTTGTGTGTGTGGATGAGAGTTTCTAGTGGATTGCTTAGACCATCTCCATTTCATAATTTTGTGGGTGTCTTAACATAAATTTAACTTATCAACATACTAAATATATTTATGGGTGTTTTAAAAATAATAACAACTCAATCAAATGTCTTGATGAATACATTTTTCAATAGGGGTTTTATTTTAGAACCATTTTTTTTGTTCTCTTCTTACTTTTTGTAATTATTTAGTGCAAAGTATCTTGTTTAGACATTTGCAATGGAAGTGTCAAGAGATTCTTTAAAGCTTTCCTACATGATCCTAGCTACACCATACCACACTTGATCATATGGATTCAAAAGAGACCAACTTGCCCTTTTTGGAGTCAAATGCAATAAAACTAAATGGCTCTTTCTTCTTGTTTGTGCGTGTTTTAAAGATCCTCTTTCACATCAGAGAATTCCAAAGATCATTAGTTCCTCCTAAGTTCTCAAGATACAAGACAACAAAAACTTCCATATTTGGCCGATTTTCTTTTAAAGTCTCAAACGGATCTTTTATTTAAAATTTATGATCGTTTCGTAGTTTAGTTTTAAAGACCGTTGTCTATGAGCCTAAAAAAGCTCAGTTTTTTTTCATTGTAAATCACCCTTTTGATCATCATATATTTAAAGTAAGGTTTCACTTTCTCCTTATTGGTCCACTTGGCAATAGAATAAGAAAAAATAATATTTTTGAATTAAAACACAAACAAATAACACATATCATCATATACATTTAACTCACACTTTATATAAAACTTAAATCATAAAACCTATGCATTAACTTTATTTCACAAATTACTTCAATTAAAACACAGATAATAACCTATTTAATCAATACATTAACTCACACTTTAATTAAACTGAAATCATAAAATCTATGCATTAACATTTTTTCGCCTCAATTTATTAACACACAATAAAGGAAAACTGTAACTCCCAACTCCCATCACTTATCATCTATAAATAATCGTTCCTCATTCCTCATTCACTCATTCACTCATTTTCTCTCCTCTTTATATATCTCAAATCTTATTTTATTTGTTTTAGTTTAAGATTTTGTTGGTTGGTTGTTGTTGTTGTATGGATTTTAAAAAATGAAATTAAATATAATTGTATAAGCGTAGTTCAAATTTTAATTTTAGAGATTATTGATATAATATATCTTACATTCTCTTTGATTTTTTAAAGACTAATATCCATTGTCTATTTTAGATTATCATCTTATAAGTAGTCATTCTCTTATCCTCTTCCACTATATTCATGTATCTATTTTTTATATTGCTATATGTATCTAGTTTATATTTAATAGATTTGTCCCGAGATTATGATTATTAATAGTTTTTAATTTTAAATATTTGATTTCTATATGTTAGGATCTCAAATCTCGTTAGCATAAAAAAAAGAATTGTTTGGTGAGTTAATTTATTGTTTTGTAAATTTGGTTAAGACAAATATTTTCTCAGATTTTATGTAAGGACTAACTACAATATTGAAATTGTAAAAAGATTTTTGAGGTCAAATCTTCACCAAAAATGTATATATAGACTAGGATATGACCCGCGGTACACCGCGGGTTAATTAGATTTTTTTTATTTTTTTATAAATTGATGAATTTGTTGTATATAATTTTTTTTTGTATACCGCGGGTCACATTCGTTGTATCTAAAAAGTAAAAAATTTAAGTTGTATTTGTTTTGTTTAGTGTTTAAGATTGTATAATTGTATTTTAATTTGTTAATTCTAGGATTTCACCCGTGGTATATTGTCTCGTATTAATATCGACTCAAACCCGTCCCACCATAATCTTGTCATGTGAAATTAAACATCATTTTGTTATTTTTTAATAACACTTTATCTAAAAGACATATAATTCGATCAACCCGTAAAAACAATTTATAATTGTATCTTAAAATACTAAATAATTGTATTTGATTTTTTAATTTTAGGATTTCACCCGTGGTATATTGTCCCGATTTAGATAATTGTAAATATTAAAAAAAGATCTAAATGACTCAATTTCGGGTCAAAAAAAAAATGACCTGGTTAAATGCACAATTTGTTCTTCAAAAATGTTAATATAGATATATATCAAGCATTAAAAATTCTTAATATATGTTTATATTTAGTAGATATGGTAATTAAGAGTTTTAATTTGAATATTTGAATTTCATATGTTAGGATCTCAAATCTCGTTATCATAAAAATAGGAATTGTTTGGGGAATTTATTTATTGATTTGTAAATTTGTTTAAGACAAATATTTTGTCAGATTTTATTTGTAAGGACTAAATGTACAAAATGGAAATTGTAAAAGGATTTATGAGCCCAAATCTTCTCCAAAAATGTATATATAGATAAATTTTTATTATTGGGTTGTATAATAATCCGGTATAGAAAACTTTTATACCGTCCGGTTATAATAAATTGAGTTTCGGTTGAGATGGATGAATTTGATTTGGTTTTGTTATTCTCCATGTAATTCTGGTGAAATTTCGCCTTCTTCTTCTTCCGGCTTCCATTTCTCGATTTTGCGTCCTCATAGGCGATTGAAACATCTCTCAATTTCCCTCAGCTGGTTTCAAGGAAAACAACTCAAGGATTCAATTTGATTACGTGTCAGTGTAATGTTGCTTCTCTGCTCTGTGTAGCTGCAGCTGATAGAATAATCTCTCAAAGTTAGTATTTCGTAAGCATCTTCAGTTATGTAGTTGGAGATTTCATAAACAAAATCCTCAGTAGAATACTCAATTCCATTGGAGTTGAAACATTGAGTTTATTATTCTACTGGAATTTTGTTTATATAATTCCCCAATTTCATAATCATCTTCATCACATGCTGCTTATAGCCAAACAACCCTCAGAAGCATTATTCTTCAGTCTTAACAAAGGTAACTCCTTAGAATCTTTTGTTTGTGTGTGTGTGAAGCATGGTTAAATAATGTTTGTATGATATTGTTGTGCTCGATAATCACTTTTTTGGACTGATGCAGCCAATTGCCCAAGTTGTGGAAGCTTCTCTGGAAGATTACGAGGAAGCAGCCAAAATAAGGATGCAGGTTACGGCTCCTAAGAGAGGCGATACTGTGAGATCGATGCATTAAGATCCAAACTTGAATATCTTGGTCGTCTTCTTTCACTTGAAATGGGAAAGATCCTTGCTGAAGGCATCGGAGAAGTCCAGGTAGGTTTCTTTACTCTTCAAAGCTTAGTTTCTTTTTCATTGATACATTTACATTTTAGCTAACTTTGTGACGCATTTTACAAATATTACTCTGCAAAACATTTCAGGAAGTAATTGACATGTGTGATTTTACTGTGGGTTTAAGCCGACAACTCAATGGATCGGTTAATACCTTCAGTACACTTGCAAGATTTTTAATTTATTCTCCTAGATTTGATTTGTTATATCTTCCTCAAATATCTCCTTAAAGGCACTTGGAGTTGGAGATGCTTATTAAAAGATTTTTCTCTAAACTCAAATCATTTTTTTCTTTGCAGGCATTAACCACATGATGTTGGAGGTGAATTGCAAGTTTGTTTTGTCGGATTTTTGTGGATACATTTCTTAAGAGATGATTAACGTTCGGCTTGAACATTGTAACGCAGATGTGGAATCCTCTTGGCATTGTTGGTGTTATCACAACGTTTAATATTCCATGTGCAGTTCTTGGTAACACTGATGTCTCGTGAGATTGCTCATTAAAGTCTGCCATGCTTCTTCGTAGCTCTGCAATTTCATTATTTAATTCCCACATGAAATAGAGTTAGTTTAACCTACTCTTATTGTGACACCTAGATTTGCCACACTATGATTTAGCCATGTTGTGAAGCCATTGTTACTTATAAAATTTTCCTATAGCAATGTGTTACAGTGATATATCATTTAAGCAGATAGGAAACTAATAGTGCTAATGAAAGAAAGCAATGAAAACTTGTTCTACTAAGGATGATAGCTAAAGAGATCACATAAACAATTAAGACTGGTTTTAGCAATTTTTTGGTCGCCAGAAAAAAATAAATGGCATATTGGGATTTGAAGTAAAACTTATAAGTCAAAACGTTATTAAAATCTAGTAATCATTTGTAAGAAATATAGGTTCATTGGAGATGTCCTCTTCTAGTTGTTTCTTTCTGTGTAAGAAGTTTAAATCTTCTTGAGTTTGAAGAAAGTTCCCGACTCTGAGAAGTAAGTGCTTTGAATCCCACTGACTAATCCTAATGCCTGAGGATTGCACAACTCTATTCCTTGCACAAGAGTGAAAGCCAGACTTGATGTCGTCAAACCAGAGGTAGTAGAACCACCTGTGAACTGTCGCTTTTTGGCGACCTTAGCATTAAGTTTCAGCTTGCTCCCAGCCTGACCAAGCATTCCATATCCGATACCTAATCCATCACCAAGAGAGCTCTCTTCGGGTGTACCAAACGCCATCCGGTTGGCCAACTTTCTCATGTCTGTCACTTGATACCTTTCTTTCATTTTTCTTAGACGACGACCACCCCTTCTCTTTTTAGGCTCAGAATAAGGAACATGAAGTGGCTTAGGTTGCCTTGCAGGAGGAGGTTCTTGCCACTTGTCAATATTCTTGCGGATTTCCTCCCTCAAAGCTTTCCCGTTTGTTCCAGATGGATCTCCTCTAGTAGCATCAACTCTTGCTGCCAAAGTCGATTTTGAAGCCAAGAGTCTGCTATCGCGCATTCGAAGTTCAGGAGGCGTGCTTTGGAAAATCTCTGTCTGCTCCAAATAACCCGCACGAGACTGTGACATTGCAGTAGAGAATCCCATCTTACTTTCAACAAACTCAAGAACCTTTTTCCTTGCCGAATCAAGATCAATAGCGTGAATGATCACAAGCGTCTAACGTCTTTCGTAGGATACTATCTGGAAGTGGTTTCCCTTTTGTGGTTAATGCAGTAACTGAAACAGCAATAACAGTAGCTGGTTGAAGAAGGCCTTCCATATCAACAAGAGTTATATCTGTCTCATTGGCAATTTTTTTCACGACACGGGCGTAATCTATTGGGTCATGTACCAGCGACTCAAGCTCTGGGAACTTAAGTCTGTACTTGTCGCGGATAAAGTTGTGGACGATCACAATCTCATTCTCGATATCAGCTGAGAGCTGATTGCAATCAACGATAAGCTTGTCTTCCAATACAGTTCCCATCTCTGCTCCTCCATCTGAATCCTTCCCGAGATCCTGTTCCAGTTTATGCATTATATCAGCGTACCTATGAGTTTCCTGTAGCTTAGAAACTCTCGAGAGATCATCATAGTTTAGGGTTTCTAAGTCTTCCATGTCCATGTCAATAATGTCTTCCTCCTCTGTTCTAGCATCCAGTTCTGCTTCATTGTCAGATAACTCGTCAAGGTCTGCGTAGAAAGAATATTCAAGAGTTGCCATATATCTGAATTTGATCACCGATACCACGTCCGTGATTATGCTCTCTACGGTTAGGTCTGATGCTCCTGTCGATTCTCTCTGTGAGAAGAAGACGATGTTTGGTTTTATATAAAAACCTCACGCACAATTAAAAACAAAAAAAAGGAAATTTCCTTTTTCTTTCACTTAGGAAATAAAAGAAAATTTATTTATATAACACTGAAGTGGAATGGCATATTGTCATATTGATATGATTTTTAAAAACCCTTGTTTAATTCTCATTGATCATTCACAGTCATTTTCAGGTTTGACCTACCCTCTATTTGTATTGTGATTATGTATCATATTCTCTGGTTGTGTGATGATGATTCTCAATAGAGCTTTTTATTGTTTGTTATTGTACAATTGTATAGATAAGCTTTGGACTAACAATGGATATTATTGCTGCAGTACTCTGTTTCTCATTTGTGACTTTGGGCTTTTATTCTGATGCTCTGACACATAATGCCTCTTCAAACGTAATAGTATCATATTCTGTTCCAGTTTATAACATGTGTCATCATGTCTATGTTGCAGATGAGTGCATATTTTGGTCCTGCCTAAGACGAAAAAGTCCAATACTTGCTGTGATTGAGCTTGGAATTGCAGTCATAGTGACATGTGTTAGTGTTTAGTGGCCATTTTTTCATTCTTTGGATGACTTCTTAATGGTAAAAACTAATCATTTTTCTCTAGAACTAATAATAACGTGTATATACTACACTACTTGCTTCCTCCTCTGATGTGTTTTAATTTCTGCAGTGCATGAAAATTCAATCCTGATGCCTTTTTCTCTCTGTAACACTATATTAGCTCTAAAAATCCCTGACCATTTCAATCATTTACCTAATTACGATCGAATTACATATCTTTTCTAATCAAAACGTAACAACCAAGTAATGAATAGAATCAAACCAAACGCAAAAAGACGACTAGATATAGAACTAAAAGGAATCAAGAACAACAAATATCATGAATCAAGTCATAGGGAGAAACCATAGAGCATCCTTGGGTTTCAAGTTGGCAAGATGAGGGAAGTGTTTGATGAGGGTGTTAGTTGCAAGATTAAACACACAGATTTCCAGATCAAAGACATGCTGAAACGGACAATTTGGTCCAACCAGAAGCTTTAGAATGTTATTTGAAAATGTGTCCAGGATTCATTAAGATAATCCAGAAGATCCCCGACAATCGACGCATTAGAATCACTCCCCAGCGATCTCGAATCACCTTGAGAGGAGCAGAGGATTGGAGAGACGGAGGAGAAGGAGCGAAAGGGAGAGCGATGGAGAGAAGTAGGAAGAAAGAGATTGAGAGAGGAAAAAGGAAGAATTGAAGACAGAGGGGAGAGAATGGGTTAGTGGAAGACGAGCTATGGCCGCCATTAGCTCAGGATTCTAAAGATGAGATCTTTTTAATGTCTAAACTCTGTTTTCTTTCTCCCCTTTTGCCGTCTCCCAGTGCAGTTAATTTTCTTTAATATTCATTCTTTTACGTTTTCACTGTTTTAACTTTTGCATTTAAAGCAGAAAAGATTACGTGTTTTTTTAAAAAAAAATAGAAAAACGCATTTTCAATTAAATATCTGTTCGGTAATTATTATTCTCAGTTGCAATTTTGTCATTTTTCGTAATAATTTCAATTGTCATTTAGTAATAAACTAAAAAGGAAACATGACAGGAAAAAGTAGTCAAAAAGTATGCACGTAATAATAGTCAAAACAATGACTGGTATAGTCTCCTTTTTGGCGAAATTCTCTAGTGGGAAAGCTGAAAAAGGGAAATTGCTACGAAACATCATGAGTGGGTCCTTGGCATTTTCACCTACATAGTTTTCACTCGGGCGAGCCTTTTCATCTCACAGTCTCTCATCGGCTTATTCATGGCAGAAGCTATCGGCGGCGAACTTGTGAAGGAGCTGGCGAAGCAGCTCTTTGCGGTATCCAAGAAACCCTACATGTGCAGAGGCATAGCTAAGAAACTCGCCACCATGATCGATGAAGTTCAACCCACGATACAGGAGATCATGGATAGCGGCGTCGATCTGAGCCACCATCGCCAGGCTCAACTGCGTATGTTATTCGACAACCTAGAGAAGTGCAGGATGCTTACCGAAAAGGTTCTGAGATGTAAACGCTGGAACGTGGTTCGACAGATTAAGGACGTTAAGAAAATGGAGGATCTCGACAAAAAAATCTCTAGTTTTCTTAGAGGAACACTGTTGATCCACGTTCTCTGTGACGTTCATCATCTCCGGGGGGCTGTTGATCGACTGAACGAGAGCGTCGATAGGCCTGTGCAGGTGACACATGTACTCGATGACTGCGTTCGTCATCTCCGGCATACTTCTCAAGTGAGATTAATTGATCGGATTGATAGGAGTGTAGATTGCGGTTTAGGATTGGATTTGGGCAAGGGGAAGGTGAAGGAGATGTTGTTTAATTTGAAGGATGAGGAAAGACTTATTGGGATCTCAGGGATGAGTGGTTCAGGGAAAACCACTCTTGCCAAAGAGCTTGCGCGGGACGAAGAAGTTCGAGGTATTAAGTTCTGTTTAGCCTTTTGTTGCTTGTCTCTTATTCAATTGCTTGCTACGTCTTTTGTTTGTGATCTATGATGTTGAAGTTGCCTAGTTATAGTTGAGTTCTCGATATTGGACACTGGCTCAAATCGGAGAGACTGTTTCGTTAATGCTAAAAAAGGTTTTCATTTGCTGCTTTTACAGCCCACTTTGGGAACCGGATTTTGTTTCTGACTGTGTCACAATCTCATTCTCGATATCAGCTGAGAGCTGATTGCAATCAACGATAAGCTTGTCTTCCAATACAGTTCCCATCTCTGCTCCTCCATCCGAATCCTTCCCGAGAGCCTCTTCCACTCTCTGCATTATATCAGCGTATCTATGAGTTTCTTGTAGCTTCGAAACTCTCGAGAGATCATCATAGTTTGGGTTTCTAGGTCTTCCATGTCCATGTCAATATTGTCTTCCTCCTCCTCTGTTCTAGCATCCAGTTCTGCTTCATTGTCTGATAACTCGTCAAGGTCTGCGTAGAAAGAATTTTCAAGAGTTGCCAGATAGCTGGAA